GAAATCTGGTCTTTTGCAAAGCGAGATTTCAGCAAACCAGAATTCCTGCACTTCCATCCTGTAATTCTTGCTGTCTTCTTCACAGCTTACTTTTTTTTCTCTTAGAAATTAATGTCCCACTGTATGCTCTTTACTCAGTTGGTAAATTGAATTGTGTGACCCTGATTTATATCCTGAAGATATCCATGTACTGGTGAACTGTGCAGTATGATCCTTGTACCAAATAAAAGCTGGAGGTAATGGAAGGAGAGGTCTTTCTGGTACCATCCTAAACTGCGGAAGAGTTGCAAGAAGACAGGGCTTAATATCTACCTGTTGGAAGATAATCTGTTGTCTCCCTATCATTTTTTCAAGTGGTGACTTAAATACCTGCTGACTGTCATACAGTTGAGTCTAAGACTGGCCTATCCAAGCTGGAAGCTTCTGTGTGAGGAAGACCGAGTGTAAGTGAGCCAAGTTGGGTTAACAGTTTGTGTTCAATTTATCCTTTGACTAAATGACTCTGTTCCTCTAACTGTGTCTAGGAAGAAAAGACACTTAAAAAGACCGAGGACTCCAAGGGGTAGATGAGACAGACAGGCTGCACAAGTCATGTCTCTTGGCACTAATGCTGGGTATCAGTCTGACACAGATGGCTCTGAACTGATAAAAAGCCCTCTGTAGTTCTTTCACGCTACCATATCCGTTCTGTGGTGTGGTGCTTCTTGTGAGTGTGCGTGTTTATATAGACTTTTATTTCTGGGAGGACTTTAAAGTGCAGAATGCCATGCAGATTGTCCTCTAAGTAGTTGCGCTACAACCCAAAATGTGGGTGTTTGGGCAATTTGGAAATGTAGAGTAGTGCCAGTAATAGAAGTGTTGTTTTGAACACTTTTTGTCTTGAGTTACTGATAGGCTGTGGGTTCGTGCTGGCTCTGGCCTTTGTGTCTAGGCTACTATGCCAATTTCTACTCGTTTGTGAGTATTGCTGACAGCTGCTACAGTACGTGGGTAGTGTTAGTTCTCACCAACCTGTTCATCATCCATATGAGTGCTTATTTAAATTCTGGTGTTCTCTGAAATGCGACATGTTTGTGCAGTTTGTTTCTGTGGTGGCCTTCACTTCTTTATTTTTCTCTTTTCCTGGAGTTAGTTACAGAAGTTACTTCTCAAGCGCTGCTTGAGGATTGAGCCTTTAAAGGGCTGATTCCAAGATGTTTGCAAAGAGAAAGCACACTGCAGAAGAGCTTTACAGAAAAATCAACCCAGAGTTAAAAGAGTGTGGAGGGGAGAAGAGGCCATCAATACCAGAACCTGTACCATCTCAGAGTCAAGATAATTACAGAATCATGGAATGGTTTGGGTTGGCAGGGACCTTCAAGATCATCTAGTTCCAACCCCCCTGCCATGGGCAGGGACACCTTCCACTAGACCAGGTTGCTAAAAGCCACATCCAGCCTGGCCTTGAACACTTTCAGGGATGGGACATCCACAGCTTCTCTGGGCCACCTGTTCCAGTGCCTCACCACCCTCTCCATGAAGAATTTCTTCTTAATATCCAATCTAAATACACTCTCTTTCAGCTTAAACCCGTTACCCCTTGTCCTGTCACTACAGTCCCTTGTAAAAAGTCCCCCCCAGCTTCCTTGCAGCCCCTTCAGGCACTGGAAGGTGCTGTAAGGTCTCCCCGGAGCCTTCTCTTCTCCAGGCTGAACAAGCCCAACTCTCCCAGCCTGTCCCCATAGAAGAGGTGCTCCAGCCCTCGGAGCATCTTCGTGACTCTCCTCTGGACTCGTTCCAATCACAGTTTGGGTGCAAATGCCAGCATGAAAGAGGAGAAATGGAATTCTCTCTCAGTTGTTTGATCTCTTTCTGTTCTAATGTACTTTGTCTGTTAAGTCTAGGAGCTAGAGAGGAAGGATGATAGCAAATCTCTGGGAAAGAAACTACTTTTCTTCTTTGCAGCTTGTAGAGAAGCTGTCATCTGTAGTTCTGTGATCACATTATGTTCAATCACATTTTCTAGATTTCCTTAGCTGCTCGCCCCTACCTTTTCTTTGTGCCTGCACATACATTTGTGTGGCCACTTAGTGAACCAAGTCATAGAAATAACCTAGTAAAACCCAAAGTGGCAAGGGAGGAGAAGGGAGGGTGTTAGTTTTAGTCCCTATCAATACCGCGATCTGGTTAACCATGTAACTGCATGAGCACTTCCACCAGCACAGAGGAGGGAATGACACTGGCCCGAAAGCAGGCTTTTGGCAGCCAGGGAGAGAGAGGTGGGACTGTAATGCCTGTTTGTGTTGGTTTATACAGATCATCAGCTGTGGTGTCTGATTCCAGCCAGGAGTAGGAAAGTGAGTTCCAGCAAATATTGATCGAATGCTCTTTAATTGCTGTCATCAGCCATTACTAAATCTCTGAAGAAGCAAGAGATTGAATAGGGGAAGGCAAAAAAATTAAACTTTTGTTTTAATTCTTCATCTCTTGCTCCAATCTAACAAAACTTCATCTTCCAAAAGAAGGCCCTTTTCCTCTTATGTCTTGCTGTAACTATGGCCTTGTTAAGAATAAGTAACCAAGTAAAGGAGACTCTAGAAGCCCCCGCCGAGTATCTGCATTGGTCTGGTCTCCCTGCGTTGCAGCAGAAATCTCAGAAAGTGCTCAGATCTTTTTTAAAACACTGACAGGAACTCTGATGGTGGCATCACTAGGATGTAGCTTCAGCCATTCCAGGGATATTGGAAGCCCTGCATATGTTCCTTGTCCTGCTCTGCTTTTGAAAACGTTGCAGTTTTGATGGAGGTCTTCATATTGCATACCTTGCTAGCCCCTCTGCAGAACTGTGGGGAAGATGTGTAATGGATTTCAGTCATAAGAGATGTCCTCCAGGCTGGAGAATAGGAGAAAAACCACAGGGTAGGGACAAGTTACCAAAAGGTAAGCTGAGGTTGTGGTCTTTTGGCCTCCCAGTTACTCTGTGGTCATTGCATATGCGTTTACTCCATTGTAAATGTAGTTTTCTTTCTCCTTCTCACAGAAGGGTAGCATGGTCCCTGTTAAAGAGGAAGAACATGTTTGGTTACCACTGAGTAGTGCAAGTTCCTCAAAGTCATACTTCTGGGTTATCTTGTGGTACCTTATTCCTATGCCCATATCTGTAACTGAACAGCGAGTTCCTGAAAGAGTACTGGGCAAAGCTATTTAGAAAGAAAACAGATAAGGTTGTTCTTCAAACTGAAGGCAAAAAGATCCACTCGATCATCCCAACTTCATCTTGTTCCTCTCAAGTTTATCTCTGCCAAGATATTTGCAGAATATGTTGGAACAAGAGCTGTTGCAGGATAGATTCTACGATGTTTTCGATAATGTCATTAAAATGAAGAGACAGGAGCTTTGCTTCCGGTGTCTGTGCATTCTCTGTTGTTCAGAGAAGATAACTTATGAAAGTACTGCTGCTCAGAGAATGTTATTCGTAGTGCTGTCACTTAGGGACCTACAGCCAGTGTAACTGAGGATCTGCTGAAACCATGCCACACAGTCTTACACACACAGTGGGGTTTTGTGTGTGTGAGGATTAAGGTTTCTTTCAGTTTATGATTCCTTAATTAATACTTACTGACTAGTACGATTTTTCCTTTTTTTTGAGAAATTGTACATGTACTTTTTTTGTGTGTTTGTGTTCTTACTGGTATTTGGAGGGCTGATAAATAAAATTCCCAAACTCTGTACTGGCATGTGAAGGGCTGGGTGAAAAAGCAAATACGTTGCTAGACTTTGAACATGGTTGTGAGGTGCTGACAGTTGCGGTGCCTTTAACTTCTAGTTGTGAAGTAACGAGAAATCAAGAAAATTACCTACTTTTGCTGAGATTTACAGGTTGTTAGTAAACCTGTTCTACTTTTGTTCAAATAAAATCTAAATTTTATGCTGCAGAGCTGAAAGGTTCTAGTACAGCAATAATAATTTTCTAAATTTTGTGATGAGGATGTAAACCTGAACTGAAATAGAAACCTTACTCTGAATATGCCCCAAAAGGCAATCAGTTCTTTTTTTTTTTTATATAAAATAACTTTATTAATGCTTCCATTGGGATGCTCAGTAAGCTTGTAGTACAGTTTGAGTATCTCTGATTTTAAAGTTTACAAGAACTTTCAGAAAATTTCTGTTTACAGATTGTTTTCAGATGTAGGTAGGGAACATTATAGTTGGAGCTTGATTTACACACTCCCACCCCCCATGAATTCAATGAAGTATGAATAGTGGGATTGGAAAGGGCAATTTTACAGTGGTTACTGAATTCTGTATGTCTATGGAGCATGGTTATTGACAAATAGTAATGCTGCAGTAAAATCCCAATTGTGCCAGGAGTGCTTTTCTTTTATGAAATGGTCAGAGAAAGTGGCTGCAGGAGGTATCAAGAGTAAATGGTGAAGATACACAGACGTGGATAAGGTAAGTGAAAGAAATTGCGATTTACAAGAAGCCTTTTGCTACTGCAAACTGCGATTCTATAGAAGAGACTGGGGACTGTGGACATCATCCAGGTTCAGGAGGGTGAGGTGCATTATGTCAAATGGGACTTCTCTTGTTCTTACCCTTTCTTCAGTTATCCTGTTTATCAGACAGTTTCAGGTTGCAGTTTTTTCTTTAGTCGCGTTTAGCTGTACAGAATTGCCAGTTCAAGCTCCTTTCCCAGGCACTGTAGGAAACCCAGGGATTTGCTTAAACAATACTTTGGCCTTGAACCATTTAATAAATAGCTCTTTGCCAGTGATATGCTGCTTTGTTTGTCTCTGGTCTTTCTTGAGATCCTCTTGTACTTTTTTGTGTGTTTTTCAGCCTTCTCTGCTTTTGTGGGCATGTGGTTGTGGTTTTATATTCATGAAGAGAGAGGTCTGTGGATGGCCACGACTGCACAGAACACTGAGGCTTTTTGGGAATATAATTAAGGTCATGAAGTTGCTTATATGTATTTGGTCTTCCTGACTGTGCCTTTGACACTCTTGCTTTTCTTCATCGTAGGTTGGACTTGCCAGGTGGTTCCAAGCAGATTCTGTTCCCCGAGGCAGTCGATCACGCCTGACTGGATAACTGACTACTGGATCGATGAACAGAAAGTCACTGAGATGACATAGGGAAGGGTGTCAGGGACAATGGTGCAGAAAAAGAAAATCTGCCCTCGGTTACTTGACTATCTTGTGATCATTGGAGCCAGGTAACGTAAAAGAGTCTCAGCAGTACTTTTGCTTGGGCAGTAAAGTGGGGATACGTAGCCTAGTGCCCGTTGATGGAGCCTTGCTTGGTGCTGAAGAAGTGCCGTCTGGAATGCGTGCGGAATGCTCCCATAATGGGAGCCACTTTTTGAAAGATACTAGTGCAGCCAAAGTTTTTTAACTTGTGGTCTTCAGAGTTCTTTTCAAGGGTCTGCAAAGGGTGACTAAGAAAAGCCAATTTGTATGTGACTTCCTGGTAGCCTACATGTCTGCCTGTCTTTGCTTCTGCTGGCATCAGGACAGAGGGCTTCACAAACTGGAAGTACTGAAAGCCATGTGCAAGTAAAACACTAGTTTGGGGTTACTATTCCAGCTGTAGCCTGTCAGCGCAGTTAAAAAAGTAAATCTGGATCTTGCCTTACTTGGCTGTTTCTCCCTCTAATACTCATTTATCCTCATAGGAATGACATGAATGCTTTCTTTTTCTAAAGTCTTATTAACTATCAATAGATAAAATGTTATGCTTATTTACTTAACGCGTATATGAAATGTGGGGTTGATATGCGTGCTGTTTGTCAAATACACAGGTGTTGAGTAAATGTTATTTTTCTTTATTTAGAAGTTATGCAGTAGCTTTCTGCCAGTCTATTTAATGGGTGTATCCCAAAGTCTATTTTACTTTCATTTCTAAATATCAGGGGTTTATGTGCATCAGCCTGTTGCTTTACCTCCCACTTTCTTTCAGAATACTCTGAATGCAATATCTTAATAGGCTAAGGGGAGGAAATTACATAATTCTGAGTAATAATTATTTTTTATTGTATTTTATGGACAGAATAATTTAATTACTTCTTGTGGTCTGTAGAAAAATAACCAAGTTTGCCATGTGTGTGTCACTGACTAGTGGGAAAAAAGGAGGAATAAATGTTAACTGCTTCCTCCAGTGATGCTTACGGTGTCTGATGTTCTCACTTAGAAATTTGCTAGCATCACTCTGGACTCCTACAGTTCTCTTGCTCTTTGCTGGACAGCGGTAGCTGGATTGCTAATGTCCAGTGGTCTGTTGTCTCATTAGGCACTTCAGCCAATGCCTGCGATAAGAGATGGAGCTGAGTGAAGTAGCTTCTCCTGCAGAGTCCTTAGGAGCTCCATGTGGCCTTCGCCATTGCATCTAATCCACTCTGCACAAATAGCTATGCCCTTTGGAGTATTTCCTTTTATTGGATGCAGATTTTCTAAATGCCTGAGAAGACTGTCTTTCTAGCCAATATTACTGCAAAGGCATGCACAGATGATGTATTCACTGGTACTTTATTGATGACCTTTTTTTTAACCATTTACTGCCAAGTAGACTCTCTAAACAGTACCAGCATTATGTGACATTTCTTCTTCAGTAGGTGACACATTATTTGTGTCCACTCATATATAAAGGCTTTTTAGGATTTGTTTTTCCTTTTCATACAATATTTAATCCCTTAAATCTATAGGTAGTATAAATTTTGTTTCCAATTTATGCTTTATTACTTAAGCATTTTTACTTTTTCTTTAATAAAGTTCTAATTTGGCAGAATTAGTCAGGAGAGCTATTTGGACCAGTGATTTTATTTTGTAAAGTACAGATCAATTGTTACTACTTGTTTAGGCTTTCTCATCTCTCAGATAAAAGGAAAGCAAGTGTCTTTTGTATTTGAAATGGGCAAATCTGAAGTATCAAGGTAAGAAAATGTCTTGTATGAGGTCCCATAGGAGAGTGATGGTGGAGCTGGGTCTCCTATGTCCCATTCAGTAAACATGATACTAAATTCTAATTACTTTAGAAAATGGTGAGAGATCAGGTATTACAGAAAAGGGATCAAACTAAAGAGAGGGTGTTTTGGGGACATATTTTCTATCCTTCAGTCTGTTTATCTCAACTATTTTTCTAACAATTATTCAGTAACCTTCGTGCAAAAGTAGTGGTAGGAAAATAGTAAATCTCTTGAAAGAATCTGTTCTTCTGGTGGAAAATTAGGAATAAACAGTACTGTCTTTCTGTCCTTGTGTTCTATTAGTGATTTGTGGTACAAAGGTTGGTAAGCCACAGTGGTCTGCATATTACTTCCCAGCTCTTACAGTAACTCACACTTCAAATTCAGCTTGAAAATCACACACAGAAATATATATATCTGAAGTTGCTAGAACTTTTACTTGAAAATTTTACAGGATGAGATCCCTATCATTCCACCATTTGTCTGAGTTCTTTCCTAAATTCTTTTTTTTCCTATTTAGGAATTGATACTGGATTTTCTCATTTAATTTTTCATCTTGTTCATAAATGGCTGAAATCTGGGGGATTTTCATCTGAGTCTGTGTTTGCAGAGGGACAGTGTATTTCCTATGCAAGCATAGCCCAGAGACCTATGTCTTTAAATTCATTTTGGAAATCAAAGTCAGGGAAACATGACAATACAATGTTCTCCCGGGAATAACATACTCCTGAAAGTCCTTTTCTCGGTCAGATTTGAACAAGCTCCTTGTTGGGCAGTGATAATGGTAACAGACTATTTTCTTTAACCTTTGTGCAATTGTGGCTAGTGATTGAGCATTGTGGGTAGTGACTGAGAAGCTGCATTTTGCCTGCATAGAAGGGGAGAGTATAAAAAAAGGTGAAGCTGAGCCCACAGGCTCCTAACATGTTAGTAGGGAGATACCAAAGGTTTTTACTGGCAGTAGTCAATTATGTATTATGTATGTGGTTTTTTGTTTGCTTTTTTTGTAGGCAGCCAAGTAGCGATAGTGTTGCTCAGACTCCTGAACTGCTGCGACGTTACCCTCTAGAAGACCACGTGGACTTCCCTTTACCGCCTGATGTTGTATTCTTCTGCCAGCCAGAAGGATGCCTGAGTGTGCGGCAAAAACGCATGAGCTTCCGTGATGATACTTCCTTTGTCTTCACGCTCACAGACAAGGATACAGGTGTCATTCGCTATGGAATCTGTGTCAACTTCTACCGCTCCTTCCAGAAGCGAGTATCCAAGGAGAAGGGAGAGGGCACAGCAGGGCATCGAGCTCGGGAGGGACAGAAAATCCCCAAATGCGGTGATGCGTCTGCACCCCAAGAGGAAGTGGGCACCGAGAGTTCGGAGAGTGGTTCTTCGCTGCAGGCTCCAAGTACAGAGTCTACCCCAGATGTGAATCGATCACCACGCAGTAAGCGCCTGGCCAAAGGCAGCCATCGCTCTCGCAACAGCACTCTGACTTCTCTGTGCATCCTTAGTCATTATCCCTTCTTTTCCACCTTTCGTGAGTGTCTGTACACCCTCAAGAGACTTGTGGACTGCTGTAGCGAGAGATTGTTGGGCAAGAAGCTGGGGATTCCTCGTGGGGTGCAGAGGTACGTTGCGGGGGGGAACAAAGAACTTTTTCCTCCCACTGTTTGTGTCCAGGGCTGCAGCAGTCTGCATGGCAAACTGGGGCTACAGGTGTGGTTGCAGAAGCAGCCAAACACCAATGGCTGACCTTTTTTGCTCTTTTAACCTAGGATCACAATAGGAAAAGGAAATTTTTGTGATTATTTCTTTAAAACTTCTCTGTCTGCTTCTGTAACCTGCTATGATTTTCATTTTTGATATGCCTAAGGAGGCACTACCCTGCTGATAACCGACTGAGCATGATCTTTTCTGAAGCTGAGCGCTGATGCTGATATTTTTGCTTTGGCATATAAGCTCTGTAGCAGCGTACCTCAGGACCAATTCTCTGGCAAATTAGAAACAGCCAAGAAATAACAGAGAGAATTTCCACTTGAGGCAAGAGGGAAATGATGAAAGTACGCTTAACGAGCTTATGAAACAATCTGAGCTTCGGCGTGGGAGAGAAAAGTCTAGAGAAGCAGGAACGGCTGAAAGAGATCAAAGTACAATATTTGAAGGGGAGAGGGAGGAGAGGTAGAAAACAAAGGAGTTCTCTAGGAAGCATATGGGAATGAGGGTTGGTAACAGCAAATTACCAGGAACTTGCTGTATTTTTAACGTAATGTAGTAATCTTCCATATCTGCTGTTATAATGTAGGGTATGTTACAAAAGCTGTTGCACTGTAGGGTACAGAAGGAACAATGTCTTTATGTATATCAGTCATGGATGTGTGTCTGTGCTATTGTGCCTGACACCTACATTCCAGGATGATGTTTTCCTTCCCAGTATGCTAACTGAAAAGAGAAAAAATAAAATGAATCTCTGGAGAAGGAGGGGGTTATCTCGATAGTAACAGGGATGGGGCTGTGAGATAGCTCGTAATGTGGGTTAAGTGAGCTTGCCACACTCCAGATTAAACTTGTCAAAAGTAAAAAACGTCAGGACATCTGTCATTTTCATCTTTTTAAGCTCTTTACATTTTGCACGAAAGGGGAAGCCTGTCCCGTTCACAGAGAAGTAGCCTACTTCTTGGGTTCCTGTCCTGGAATAGTTTTAGGAGAGTGTCCTGGGCTTACGACTGACTCCCGCCTAGCAGATTTATCATGTGAATCCACTGACTGTTGAGGGAAAAAATGATTCTGTTAGAACAAAATTTTCTTCTTTCTTCAATGGAAGTCTGTATTGAGGGAGCTTATTTTGTCGCTTGGTTTAGTCTGATAATTACTGAGGCAGGAAAAAAGCTAAACTTCATGATTTTCCTCAGCTCTGTGAGCTCATCTGATTTGTTAAAGGGGTGCTAAAGTATTCCAGTATTTGAATGGCATGTGGTATTTGAAAAATTTGCTCATGTTGGACATAATTCTTAAAGAGAAAAACTGAGTGAACGATGAGGAGGGCAAGAGAAGGAATGCTGAGCATACATGGCTGGGAAAAGTAAAGCAGCAGGTTTGAATTACCGTGTGGTTTGCAAGCCGTGACCTGGAAAAGTGGAGTTGTTTTGAAGTGGTGGTAGAATAAAGAGGAAACTGAATCCCTACAGCTTGTAAAAGTTTGAGTGTGCCTGTTAACAACCTAATTCCTCTGCGTTACAAGCGGCTGGAGGGGGGGTGGAGGATGAGAAGCATCACAGTTCCTGAGAGGTGTATCACAGCGTAATCTCAAATTGCCCTTCTGTTGACCCCTCCAAATTTCTCTAAATTTTCTTATTTCCTGAAGCCTCCACTGTCATAATTTTTTTTTTTTGTTTTTAAATTTGTGAACTGTAAGGTAGAACCTCTAATTTGAACCCATACCGTTATACGGGATCTATTACATTAACTGAAGAAATTTATCAGGCTGAAGGACTTTACAGAATGGTTACAGCAGGTTTAGAGCCTTCACTGTGCTGCCACATTAAGGGCTGAAGGGGACAAGCCACTTTGCTCCCCTTCTCAGACCCAGTTTCAAGTGCTGAAGCTCTGAAGGCCCTGAAGCAATGCAGTACCTGTGATTTGGCCAGCTCATCTGGGAGCTACAAGTTTTCAGATTGCTAATTTAGGGCATGGAAAAAAGGCTGCTTGTTTTGCTAAGCTACCTAAATGCTTTCTAGACAGCTTTCAGAAATTTGTATTCTCAGCTGGAATGTATCCACTTCTGCCATGGGTTTGTCAGCTCTTAAGAATGATAGAATGCAATTTGGGATGGGATTAAAAAGGGTTTTTTATAATTTCAAAACATCTGGGAAAACTTTGTGTGGCATGTTTTTATTATCTCTGGTTTAGTTCGTACTCCTGCAGGTCTGTAGGACTGCTGGAATCAGAATCATACAATCAGTCTGCCACAATTCTGGACAAGATAGGAGGGTATCCTTTGTGCATGCTGAATTTCAAGCACAAGGGTGAGGGGAGATCTTCAGAGATCTGGTCCTGACTGAACCCTTTAAATGAATGAGGGAACTCTCAGGTGGAAGTGACATACTTCTGTGGATTCCTGCCACGGAAAGATTTATACTTCCTTGCAGTTGGTTGTTTCAGTAAGCTTAAATCCCTATCTTCCATTCCTCGGTGTGACCAAATGCTTGTTAGTTGCATCTTTTAATGCTGGGTGGATCTGCCCTTTCCCTGGAAAGGCCCTGCTGAATGACTGTCAAGTGAAGCTCCTGGAGTATTAACCTTGTTGTTCTCCCTGTACAGGGATACCATGTGGCGGATTTTCACAGGCTCCCTCCTGGTGGAAGAAAAGTCTAGTGCGTTGCTACACGACTTGAGGGAGATTGAGGCCTGGATATACCGGCTGCTCCGTTCACCGATGCCTGTTGCTGGTCAGAAGCGGGTGGACGTGGAAGTCTTGCCACATGAGTTGCAGCCAGCTTTGACCTTTGCTCTTCCTGATCCATCCCGTTTCACCTTGGTGGATTTTCCACTCCATCTGCCTTTGGAGTTGTTGGGAGTGGATGCCTGCTTGCAGGTGCTGACCTGCATCCTTCTGGAGCACAAGGTAAGAAGGGAAGAGTTGATTTTCATGGGTACTGTGGTGGGTTGACCCTGGCTGGAGGCCGGGTGCCCACCAAAGCTGCTGTATCACTCCCCTCTTCAGCTGGGCAGGGGAGAAAAAATATAACAAAAACCTTAGGGATTGAGGTAAGGACAGGGAGAGAGACTCAGCTTGGGGAAAATTAAATTAATTTATTACCAGTCAAATCAGAGTAGAAGAGAACTAAACCCTAGTCTTAAAACAGCTTCCCCCCACCCCTCCTTTCTTTCCTGGGCTCAACTTCACTCTAGATTTTCTCTACCTCCTTCCCCTGAGCAGCACAGGGGTACGGAATGGGGGTTGCAGTCAATTCATCATACGTTTCTGCTGCTCCTTCCGCCTCGGGGAGGGATCCTCACACTCTTCCCCTACTGCAGCGTGGGGTCCCTTCCACAGGAGACAGTCCTCCCTGAAACTCTCCAGCATGACTCCTTCCCACAGGCTGCAGTTCTTCATGAACTGCTCCAGCATGGGTCCCTTCCATGGGGTGCAGTCCTTCAGGAGCAGCCTGCTCCAGCATGGGCTCCTCTGATCATGGCTCTACAGGTCCTGCCAGGAGCCTGCTCCAGCGTGGGCTTCCCACAGAGCACAGGCTTCTCTGGCGCAGCCACCTGCTGGGGCCCTCCCTGGGCTGCAGGCGGGTCTCTGCTCCACTGTGGCCCTCCATGGCTGCAGGGGAACCTCTGCTCTGGCACACCTCCTCCCCTCCCTCTCCACTAAGCTTGGTGTCTGCGGAGTGTTTCTTTTGCATCCCACACTCTCTCTGCAGCTGCAGTTTCTCTTCCCTGTTTCCCCTCCACCCCCGTCCTTCTTGAGTATGTTATCACAGAGGCATTACCACTGTTGTGATTGGCTTGGCCTTGGCCAGCAGCAGGTCCATCTTAGAAACCACTGGCATTGCCTCTGTCAGACATAGAGGAAGCTTCTAGCAGCTTCTCATAGAAGCCAGTCCTGGTAGCTTCCCTGGCTACCAAAACCTTGCCGTGCAAACCCAATACAGGTATGTAGGGAGCTGTGCCCTCTTCAAAACCAGGGTTGGCTTGGTGTGTAGAACAGCCGTCTCCTGCACTTCCTGGAATGAATTTGTCCCCAGGGGGAAGAAATAGCTCCTTCTGAGGTTCTTGTTATGAAAAGTTTTGCTCTCACTCAAAAAAGCACCTGAAGCTTGTTTTCAGACAGGTTAATGGAGGGTCATCTGGTTCACAGTCATGAATCAGAGGCTTGCAGGCTGTGATCTTTGTATATGCCTAAGGGGAGTATTAGAAGTGAATGGTTGCTGCAGTGCTAATGTGAGTTTCTTTGGTTGCAGGTTGTACTGCAGTCCAGAGATTATAATGCACTCTCAATGTCTGTGATGGCCTTTGTGGCTATGATCTACCCATTAGAGTACATGTTCCCAGTGATCCCGCTGCTTCCCACCTGCATGGCCTCAGCAGAACAGGTACATCTCTTTCCTTTAATGGTCTTTTGCAAAGGATGTTTCTGTGATCTCTGAAACTTAAATAGGAGTAGTCCTTGTTTCCTTCCCGCTGTTTTCCCAGGGATGGTGGCAAAGACTGCATTGCAAAGAACGTTCTTTGAGCACCACTAACTATTTAAATCATAGGTAACACCATGTAGGTAGGATATCTTCAGAGCATGCTTAGTGACTAGTATGATTCAAACCAGTAGTTCAGAAGCAATGGACTGAAAGGCCATAGATCCACAATATTATGATGAGTATTTACCTCTCCCCCTCCCAGCTGAGTATTAAGGTTTGTTGGGGAGGGTCCAGAGTAGTATTTAAGGATGCTTGAGGGCTATTGGTTCAGAGATTAGAAACTATTGACTGCAGTGTATTCTTCTCAGAAATATGAAGCGTTGAGTTACATCAGCAGGGAGCCTGGGGTTTACCGATAGTCGTTTCTCTGCAGGAGCTCATTATTTTGCTTGGAAAGGTAGAATTCAGGCCATCTTACTGCTTTGGTGCTGTCCTGCAACTGATGCTGCAGGTTTCTTCCTGTACCACCCCTTGGAGGTGACCAGCTGTTCTAGATTTAAAGAATAAATTAGCCTCCCACACTACTGGTCGCAAGCTGCTACATATCTTATTGATTTAAACCTTTTCACTCTGCTGATTCCCTTATCAGGAAGAACCTGGATTTCCCCTTAGGTTTTCCGTGTACATTTGAAAAAAATGTGTCTATTTCTTCTGCTTCTTAGAGATGTTATTGTTTTGAAACCAAATTACTATTAGGAGGGTAAGGGTAAAGCCTTTGCAAGGGTAAAGCTATATTTACAATGGCAGAGACTCAGTTTGAGCTCTGAAAATTGAAGCTCTCTGAGCATGAGCTTTTACTCTTCTTATTCTTTTCTTTTCAAAAATATTTCTATTGTATGGAATTAATTACTTATTTATCAATGCCCTGTTTGTTGTCTCCTCTGCTATAAACATATTGTAGTTAATAAATAAATATTTGGAAAGAACGTGGTGATATCAAATGCAGATCTTCTCCTTATTAAACTCCCTCTCTCAGTTGCTTCTAGCCCCTACACCTTATATCATTGGTGTTCCAGCAAGTTTCTTCCTTTACAAACTGGATTTTAAAATGCCTGATGATGTATGGCTTATTGACCTGGATACCAATAGGGTAAGTGGTACCCATGAGACCTTGTGGCTTTGTTTCTAGGGAACTGTGCACTTCTATCACTGTACCCACTGAGAATTTAAGTATACCTGACCTCAGTATGCCTTTGCGTCTGCCATCTTAAAACTTTAGGATTCCATTGCTTGTTGTGTCCTCATTTCTTTTGCTTATAAGGCATGCTTTTCCAATTAATCCATCTATCACTGGAAGATAAGTCCTCAAACAGATTATAAAGGTGTTGTCCTGAGTAACTGTGACCCTGTCTCTTATAACCCTACCTAAGAAACCCTGTCTGATAAGAGCCTTCCAGCAGCCCTGGTTGCCGTGATTCAGATGGGACTGTGTATCCCACTTTCTGCTGGGGCACGAGCAAGCCTCTTTCAAGGGAAATGTGTATAACATCTTTTTCATACATGGTGGAAATTCCAAAGGATGGGTGTGGGTTCATTCAAACTTCTCTTACTTTTGTGGCAAATGGTAAAGTAACTCCTCCGTTGTTTGTGATCCTGTAAACAGTAACAACCATAAAGAAGTGAAAATCAAAGGATTGATGCAGATGCCTGTGTGTGTGTTGTGTTGTGCATTTTTTTTTAATTTCGTATTTTACTTTATGGCTTTTATTCCTTGGTCTCTGGAGTGGTGAAGATTTAGGAGATTCTGTTTTGGAAACAATTACAGGTAGAGAATTTTCAGTCTGTTGCTGTGCTTAATTCCAGGTGATCGTTCCCACAAATGCAGAATCTTTGCCAGCGCTGCCAGAACCAGAAGCTTCAGAGCTGAAAAAGCATCTGAAACAGGTAATAGGCACTTTGGGGAAAGGACTGTGATTCAGTAGAACATAGCAGATGTAGTGTTGCCCAGCTCTTCTGCTATACTCGACAAGAATGCAGGCTCAGCAAATGTGAAGTGAAACGTGTTAAAAGCGGGTGTGTACACATTAGATGGATGTGAAAATGTAACATGCTACTAGAATACTCTTGTTGAAGAAAGTGCCCCTTGGTCAGTCATGGAGAGGTCTACTTCTCTGAATGTGGGCTAATCAACAGGGTGGCTGATTAAACAATGTTATAGGGCTGTTGCCTTTTGAGCTCCCTAAGCTGGATGGCGTTCTAACATTTTCTTCTCCTGACCAAGCTAAATCTGAGACTTTCATCTTGTTTAAGATCTCTCTGTAGTTTCTCCAGAGGGCTTCACAGTAATTTTTGTTCCCTGTTTCATCTTTTGCTGTCTCTGCTGCTTCCACCTTTGTCATTTTTTGGGAAAGTACAGGACTAGGAGTTTTCTGTCAACCTGTTTAAGATGCCTCTTTCATATAGTTGGCCAGTTAGAACATGCCACATGTTAGAATACAACAGCATTTTGAGCTTGAAAAGCAATATCGATACAGATGTTAAGCGGTAGGTATCCAGTAGGTATCCTATCCAGTAGGTATCCTATCCAGTATATTTGCTGCTTTTCTGTCTTAATGGAGAATGTTAATTTGGAAAAGTGAGTGGCCACTGAGGCTTAAAACTGCAGTTAATTTCTTACCCTGGTGAGGGATAATTTGAAATGCTCCTGGATGCAAGAGATGGTTTCTGGTGCTTTTTACAGTTGTTTGGGGCTCACTTGTTTCCAGTTGGCGCAGAAAGTTCCAGATTCCTCCTTTACGTTTGCCATGTGGGCTTTAAACTGATTTGATCCATCAAGCTATGATCATCTTTGTTTCCCCTCCATTCACAGATCTGTGTGTGAGGTCTCAGTCTCTCCTCTCAGGTCCTGCTAAGCCATTAATCAGCTTGGGTCATCCTGGCTGATCGTGTCAAGCAGGTTTTATCTCTTTATTTCTGTTTTCCTTATGCACGCTGCATGCAGTATCTAAAGGTAAAGTGTGTTACTAATGTGATGAGTTCTGCTCTTTCTCTCTCCTCATAGACCAGGAGAGCGAAGTGCGTATCCTCTGTGATACCCCAGTACCTGCAGTCAGCACAGATGGAAGCGATGTGTTGCTTGGAGTTTTGTTAGATCCACTTTCCCCCCCACTTCTGCCTCACCCCCTTGCAATTTCAGTAACTATTCAGTAAAACTGTCTCGCTAAGGCAAAGTTGGATATGAGAAGAACAAATTACAGTTTCCTTGAAGACATATTTAAAATTCTCAGAATGTTCACCCAAATTCAGGTTACAACCCTATGTATTCCTATAGGCATTGTCATGAAGAGTTGACAATTGGCAAAGGAGGGGAGCTATTGGTTGCTGTACAAAGTAGAGAAGACTGAATTGTGGCCCATGTCACTAAGGCTAACACTTTTGTGTGCCTTTGGGTCTTAGTGTCGATGAATAAGATTGAGGATATCTGCTTTTAAACTGCAGCAGGAAGTTTTTAGCTGCATGAATAAGGACAGCAGCCTTTCTACTTTACAAAGTGGCCATATGTGAATGTTTGGGGGTGGGGCAGTTAGACCTCTCTCCCAAGATGTGCCTGTTTTGTGGTCCTTTTTATTTTCTCTCATTTGTGATATTTGGTAGTAATAGATTTTTTTTTTTTCCTTCCATCTGTTTCTCTGTGGTCATGTGTTCGTCTTGGCTCTGATGGGCTGCTGGTGTTATCATATGATCTTCCATCTTGCCTCCAGTGTCTGGTTAGCATGACTGCAATCACTCAGAAACAGCTGCTCACTCCTGACAACAAGGTTCTTTATTTTATTCTTTCCCCCTCAATTTTCCATTTTACCCTTTTCCTTTGGAGTTTTGGTTTTTTGTTTTGGTTTATTTATTTATTATATATATA